AATTACAGGCAGGGCATGGTGACCTGGGAACAGCATACACATACTCTGCAGCTGGAGGAGAAGGTTTCCCCTGGCTGCCAACACGCAAGTTCCAGCAAGCAGCTGGACCTGCCTGGATCTTTTCTCCCTGACTGAAAAACTCCTGCCGTTCAAGGTTCCAGATGCCACTTGCGCTGGCCTTCGGGGCAGCACATGTGCTGCCAGTTTGGGCGCAACTATGGGTTAATTCCAGACCCTCAGAGGAAAGGTTGCTGCTCTCCTTCCCGTATCTGTTGAGACGGGGGACATTCCATCCCACTAGTGGTCCCTCTCTTCTTAAGTGCTGGTGGGCAGATGGAATGGCCGGCGGCAGCAGGAGAAGGAGGAGAGGAGGATAAGGGCTTCCAGATGACAGAAGCAAAGTTCCTGCTCTCTAAAAATGCCGGGGACCTCTTCTTCTGTTACTGCCCTGACTGATGCTTGGGAGCGATATGTCCACAAGAACAGGAGAACACTGCTGGCAACCTCACCGAGGTGCACCACACAACCATCTGGGACCACCGATCCTCAAAAATGAAAACCTGGTGGCCATGGATGTTGCTGTGGGTGGCTGCCCATAGACATGAGGAAAGCCACATGCCCATGGATGAGACTGCAGTGTGTGCAGAGCAGGAGACCCTCCGCTGTCAGGGGCGCCCCCTACAGGTCCTTTTCTCCAGATGGCTTGGCATGGATGCTTTCCCAACGGCACTTCAACTGTTGCTCAGGAGCTGGACAGGAAGGGGCTCCCTGGCTAGACATGGCTACATTCAGGGAAAGGTGAGCCAAAACAGCATTCCCACTTTCCTGGCCAGAAAGAAAAAGAAAAAAAAAGCAAACTGTGCTGCTTATATACCATCCCACTGCACTTAAAACACTCTCTGCATAGTTTCCAATTTAATCCTGCAGGCTACACATTGCACACACACCAGCAAGCTGAGTGCTTGTTTTCCTGACCTCGGAAGGATGGAAGGCTGAGTCAACCTTGAGCCAGCTGCCAGTATCTGCTGGGATCAAACGATGACCATGAGCAGTCTTTTGAATTCAATACTGCAGCCTAACCACAAGGTGGCGGCAGGGGGATTCCCTTGGAACAGTCCAAAGCCTTATTAAGGAACACCTTTTCTTCTGCCTGGATGTTAAAAAGTCTTTACTGCCACTCACTTTCAGCCAGGGTGGGGTGGGGGTCGGAGAAAGAG